CATGCACAGAGGGGTGGGCTTCCTGACTCAGGGAGCAGAGCATCTAGTTGAGAAAGTCAAGCCTGTAGAAAGTGGTGGGTCCCCAACAATGTGAATGTACCTAATGCCCCAGAACTGGAGAGGGGAAAACGGGCAGAACAGTAAATTGTATGTCACGTGTATTTTAGCCACATTTTTTAAGAAAAAAAGATACAGGGCGCCTGGGTGGCTCAGTGGTTAAAGCCTCTGCCTTCGGCTCCGGTCATGGTCCCGGGGTCCTGGGATCGAGCCTTGCGTCGGGCTCTCTGCTCAGCGGGGAGCCTGCCTCCTCTTCTCTCTCTCTCTCAGCCTGCCTCTCTGCCTGCTTGTGATCTGTCTGTCAAATAAATTTTAAAAATCTTTAAAAAAAAAAAAAAAAAAAAAAAGATACATGTGTAGGAAAAGATCTGGAAAATTGACACCATATTCTTCACAGTGGTTACTTAGGAATAAACAAGATTCTCCATTTACAGAAAAGCTTTTAATAAAGAAGGCAATACTGTTGTAACCATGACACAGTTTCCTTTCTTAAGGATTGCTGTCTTCTGCCTTACTCCTGGGTTCTGAAGTTGAGCAGGACTCTCAACAAGTATTTTGTCTGTACCATCTAGAAAAAGGCAGTTGGCGTCTGGGTGCCTCAGTTGGTTAAGCGGCCGACTCTGGATTTCAGCTCGGGTCATGAGCTCAGTTGTGCAAGAGGTAACAAAACAAATACCACTCCAAATACCACTTTGAAAGCTATAAACCTCCTTACCAGTTCATTTGTAGAATTCCTTTCAGATACTGCCGGAGGCCATCCCTGCCTTTAAAACCTTTCTCCTCTGATCACGGTCATGATCGGGGTTCTCCCCAGAATATCCTAACTTCCTCTTTGAAGGTGTCAGGCCTCAGGGTGCTTATCTCAGCCCACACCACCCACTGGCAGTGGCAGAAGGCAGCCTGCGTCTTCCCTCTGCCGTCACACTTGCCAGCTGCCATGATCGAGCCCTGGGTTGGAGTCTGCCCTTAGCTGGGAGGCTGCTTGAGGATTCTCTCTCCCCCTCTGCCCTTCTACCTGCTTATGCTCCCTCTCTCTCTAAAATAAATAAAATTTTTTTTAATGGAGAAAAAGCCAGTTGTACAAATATGCGTTAGTTGAGTTTATGAGTCAAAACCGATAAACTAGAGGAAAATAAATATTTTTTTCTTTGGGATCGAGCACATGGAAGGCAGTGCGCTGGACCCCAAAGGTGTCGCAGTTCAGCAGGGCTTGGCTCAGAGAGGTCTGGGGTAGGGGTGGGGCCAAAGTGGGATTTGACAAGGCAAATCACAGAAGCAGGGAGGTGAGGGGCTGGAACAGGGTGATGGGCACAGAGATGGAAGAAGAGGCCACGACAGACTGAATTCCCAGGCTGGTGACCCAGTGAGGGGTGGGCAGGTGAGCCCCCAGCGTGAACCCCATCGAGGGACTTCGAACGAGTCACTTGGTTCTTTTGCTCTCTCTCCCCACTGGTAGCCCCCACCTGTCATGACCCCTACCTGGGGAGAATGACAGCAGGTTGCTGGGAGTGGGGAAGAGGAGCAGCAGGGAGAGTGCCATGGGTGCGGGCAGCTGGGGGCTGCTGGCGGGTGCTAGCTGGGATTGTCATTATTCCCGCTGCCGTGGCTGCCAGCTGATGGGCTGTGCAGGGCGGCAGCATTCCGGGAGCCGGAAGGCCATGGTCCATGCGCCACATTTGGCCAGTCTGGTGGAGGCAGGTGACAAGGGGGCTGGCAGCCCAGTGTGCCTCCCCTAGCCCCTCCTTGTCTTGATGACTAACCCAGACTCACAGGCAAGTCCCCCTCCCCAGCCCTGCTCAGCACTGCATCCAGCTGGACACCTTGCCCCAGCTCTGCCTCACCTCCCACCACCTCATCCTGCTCTCTGCCCTCTCTGCCCCCATTGGGCCAGCAAGAGCTCTGGACCACAGGACAGCCCCCTGCCTTTTTCCTGCCTCTATCTGTAGGCCCCGGGCTCCTGGGAGAGGGGATTGTTTTGCTCCTCTCTGTATGGCTTATGTGACAGATTCAGAGTTTCTTGGGAAAAAAAGAAGGGCGAGGAAGGAACTTACTCTTATCTTTAACCCCAGCTGGACCCTAGAGGAGAGCCACATCTGGTTCCTCTCCTTGCCCCACTCCTCCGCCTGCTGATGCAGAAACCAGCATGTTTGGTCCTCAGCAGGCAGGATGGCCCTGGGTACCTGCATTCCAAAATGCTGAGCTGATGCCACCAGCAAGTAAGGTCACAGGCTAAGGGTCTTGTATTCTGTGCTTTACACAAGGGGCCAGGCTTTCTCAAACAGGGCCCTCCTGTGAACTCTGGGGAGGTCGGTGAGCCGGCCCTCCTCTCACTGAGGTCTTAATCATATGCTTACAGGAGTGCGGGCACTGTCAAAGATTCCAAGCCCTGCAGAGTATTGTTTCTGGGCTCACAGGGACCCAGACAGCATTTCCCTGACCCTGGAGCCCTGGCTGTTGCTTGGGACCAGGCCTGCATTATTCACATTTCTCCCCTAAGCAACAGGCCAGAGCTGTTTGCAAGCAGAGGAGGTAGGTGGCTTGGCCTCTTTCTCTGCCGGAGGGTGTGGGAGTCTGCTGGGAAATTCTCGCCATCTTCTTGTTTTTCCCTGGCTTGGTTCTTGCTCAGCAGCTCGGCCGGCCTGCTCGCTCCCCAGGCGACCCTCACCAGCCCCCCATGAGGCTCCCAGCCTTTTCTGATCTCCCCATTTTACAAAGTCTTCCCCTCGTGGTTATGACTCAGGTGTCCAACCTGCTCTTGTCCTGATTCCTGCTGCTTTATCTCTATCTTTTTACCTGTTCGCCTTTTGTGACCCGGGTCTGCATTTTATTTACTTTTACTGATAAGTAAAGGTGGGTGAGAGCGATGATTTTAAATCCATCCCCATAACCTTCCATCATAAGTGCCCTAATTTCTGTATTATTTCTGTGTCTGCTTTAAAAAGTCAACTTTGACAAGTCTCTGAAGGAGAGAGGTTTTGTGGGTTTGGAGTTAGTTTTGTTTTGTTTTGTTTTACTTACTCCCCCCTCCCTTGTCCTTGCAAGTCTTTTCCAGATTAGACACTTAACTAACGCCCTTTCCCCTTCACCCCATGCTGTTCTTGTGGTTTTTTTTTTTCCTCTTTATTCTGCCACAGACTTGTGCTGAGTTAGTGGCTCTAGACAAGGGCAGCCGTGCCCATTGGTGTGGGTGCTGAGCGGGCTCTCACCCCTCCTCTCCGTGGCAGGTCCCTCCAGCCTCCAATTTCCAACCCCTGTCACCGCTGCCCTCTGGTAATGTTTGTAGGCATGAGGAATTCCAGAAGAGTCTGCCATGCCTTCTCCCTGCCTGTACTCGTCAGAACCGGGAAGGCCTCAGGGAGGGGATGGGCCGTGAAATTGCTCCCCGAATTCTCTGCCTGCAACTTGGGATTGGACCCTCGAGTTCATTCTGGTTCTGCTCCCAAAGCAAGCTTCCCACCTGGGTGTTGTGGAGGCCCTGGGGGTGCCCCAGCCCTGAGAAGGCTCAGAGGGAACAGGCTGGAGGGGAATGGGCTAGACAAGGGCCTGTGCTTGGCATTGGTGGCCAGGGGGTTGCACACGTGGGTGTGGGGTAGGAAGTAGGGCCTAGAGAGCAAATGGGGGAGGGTGTATGCCAGAAGAGAGTTGCTCTGGGACCATTTGGGTCTGGAGGGCTGAACATAAGAGGGTAGTGCAGGTGGGCCATGCAGGAGTCTGACACACAGGCCTTCGCTGGCCCCTGAACCCTGGGAGGCAGGGTGAAGGAAGAGGGTAGGCTGGTGGTACATGGAGGCCCTGACCTGGGGAAGAGGAGCTGGAGGCCCACCTTGGGGAGGTGGATATGGCGAGAGCCCGCTGTGAGTAAGGCCCTTGTAGGAGAAGAGCTGGGTGGGATGGTGATGAGTATGGGCTCCAGAATCCCTCCTGGACCCCATCATCTCCCAGCCTCAGTGTTTCTGTCTGTGAAATGGGGGCTCATTCTGGCTCCCAGGGTTGTTAATGGGCAATGCACAGGTCCTGGTAGCTAGTAAACCCTTGGCCTTCCTGAGGACAGGGCATGAAGAGCCTGAGAGGGGGAATCCAGTGCCCGCAGCAGTGGGGTCAGTGGCCTGGGCTGTCCCTGGTGCCTCTCCTTCAGCTGGGTTTCAGAGGCCCAGGACTCTTCCTGTTAGAGAGGACACATCACAGGTGTTCCCCTTTCCTCACTTCTCTCCTGCTCACACCCCGAGGTGCCCTGCAGCCTCTGTTGCCTCTTCCTACTCCCCCTCTGGTCCACATCCAAAACATACCGGACCAGGCCCTTCTTTTTCGTCCCTTGACAGGCATCCCTTCTCGCCACTGGGCGCACAGACGTGATGGCATCACCGCCTCACCTTCTGTCTGTCGAGCTCCCAGGGTCAGGTTGAATCCATTTACATGCTGTGTTTTCCTGCCTCAATGGCCTGGCCCCGGTGTCCACCTCCTGCCTGCCTTTGGCCATGGCAGCCATCTCCTACCAGGAACATCTCTGCCTTCTCTGTCACTTTTCCTTCAAGGCATCCATGTGGCCTCTTATCCCAGCTCTGTCTCCTGAAGCCACTTCTCTTGGGCTTCCGAGTACCCCTCTTGGATCTGTGTCAGGACACCAATTAGGCTTGTTGCTCCCCCTTACTTGGGTCCCCTGAACTCTATGTGAGGCCAGTAGCCCTGCCCTTCCGCTTTGAGGCCCCAGGCTTGGTGTGACACTTGCTGCGTGATGCCTCCAGGTGAAGGAGAGAAAACAAGGCACCACGCACTCCGCACTGTGGGGTGAGAGCACCGATCCCCCTTGTGTCTTCTGACCCTCATGTCTCTCCTCAGAGCGAAGACCATCCGGAATCCCAGCAGAGACCCCCCCCCCCCCCCCCGGGCGCCCCCCCCCCGGCCCCCCGGCGCCCCCCCCCCCCCCGCCCCGGGATGCTCTGGGCATGGCCTCTGGAGCCCCCCAGCAGAGCAGCCAGCCAGCAGAGGAGATCCCAGGCTTCCTGGACGCCTTCCTCTGCGACTTCCCAGCTCCACTGAGACCAGAGAACCCTGCGCCATGGAAGCTCCCAGGGACAGTGCTGAGCCAGGAGGAGGTGGAGGGCGAGCTGGCTGACCTGGCGCTGGGCTTCCTGAGCAGCAGGTAGGTGACAGGCCTGCCAGGTGGGGACAGCACAGGGGCCGGGAGCAAGGGTCTTGGCATGGGCCACCTACCAAACTGGGCTACAGCTGCCACTCACCCTGCACGCCCTGCCCTGTGCCAGTTGTGCTGCTTAATGACATCCTGTGACGGAGCTGCATTGCTTCCCCAGGGCTGCTGTCACGAAGCAGCCCGGTCTGGGTGGCTTGGAACAATAGACATGTACTGTCTCATAGTTCTGGAGGCCAGAAGTCAGGGATTAGGGTGTCGGCAGAGTCGAGCTCTCTCAAACAAAGGCTGTGGGGCATTGGTTCCAGGCCTTTCTCTCAGCTGCTGGTGCTGCCAGCAGTCCTTCCTTGGGGTTCTTTGGCCTGTAGCGGCATTGCTGCAGCCCAGCCTTCACTGTCACATGGTGTCCGCCCTGTGCATCTGTGTCTTCCCATGGCGTTCCCTCCCTGTCTGGGTCTCTTCTCATCTTGTAGGGACACCCTGCTCCAGTGGGGACCTCCTCTTAACACCTGCAAAGACCCTAATTCCACCTAAGGTCATATTCTGAGCAGGTTAGGACTTCAACATCTCTTTTGGGGGAACACAGTCCAACCCATGACAGGTGCAGTCAGTCCTGTTTCTGTCTCATTTCACAGATGGGGAGCCAGAGACCGGGGGGTTAAGAGCCCAGCCGAGGCCTCGGGGGGGGCAGGGCCAGACCATGTGCCCCTAGTCACGATAACCCAAGAGGTGATGGTGCTGTCCGCTGTTCACAGGCCAGGCAGCCGGGCCACGGAGATGAGACACAACAGGCTGAGCAGATTAGAAGGGACAAACACATAGACAGTAAAGGCTAGCAGCCCATACCAAGTCTGCATGAGCCTCATCCCTGAGTCAGACCATGCCCCCAGCCTCAGCATCCTGACATCTGAGTGTCCCCAAGCTTGCTTCCTGTGGGCTGGCTGGTCAGCTCAACCCTGGCGCACCATTTTCCTCTGCCCCCGCCAAGGGCCTGCTTGCTAGAGTCAAGCAGAATTAATGACTCTTACTCACCCCTGCAGTGTGGGGACCCGGGTCTCTGAGCATGAAGGTCAGGGTGAGCTGGCTTGGTCCATCCTGACAGCCCCATGGCCCCACTGAGCTCAGGCGGACATGCCCAGTGACCGTGCCACTTTAGGGTGTGGCTTGTGTGGAGGGTGTCGCTGGCCTATTTTGTTCTGCTTTGAAGAAATATTTTGGAGGGGGCATAAGGCAAGTAGATGCAACAGAATAGGCCCGGGTTGCTGCATGCGGGGGAGGGGAGGGCTCCTGGGGCTCTGCCTTCCTCAGGGCCCAGGGTCGCACAGGGTCTGTCCTACCAGCAGCCACCAGGCCTCCTGTGGGGTCTTTAGGGGTGGTGGGAAGAAACACAGGCCCAGCAGGATTGGCGCCCATGCTAGCCCTGCATGCATGCGAGCCCAGAGACAGGAGAGCCACAGGCTGCTGGCTCAGAGTCAGAAGAGGGACAAGCTATAGGGCCGGGCCTGGGAGGGGCACCGGGGTGAGCCATCAGTCCGCTGGTCGGGGGAAGAATGGGCACAGAGGAGGGATGGGGCCAGAGGGGCGGGATCCCAGAAGGCTAGGCTTGTTTTGCTCCACGGCAGTGGAGATGGAAGCTGGTGAAAAAGAGGAGGGTAGCCGGTGACCAGCTCTCTTGCCCAGGGAGGGGCCTGAGCTGGAGAAGTCAGTGGTCTGACTGTTGGGGTCCGCAGGGTGCAGGGCCTTGGGGGCGAGCAGGTTTTAGTTATGTTGGAAGGCAGCTATTTCAGGCTACCGGTAGGAGAAAAGCAGAACTTGCTTGACATGACGTGGGGCCCCGTGAGGCCCTGTGGCAGGCCCAGGCTCAGGTGTCGTTGAGCAGGTACCCCATTAATTAGCAGGATGCCAGAGCAGGCCTGAGACCATTACCCATGAGGGCAAGAGAGGCCAAGGGTCATGGCCCCCATCAGCCTCCTAACGAATCCATCTTAAAACAACTTTAAGGGGCGCCTGGGTGGCTCAGTGGTTAAGCCGCTGCCTTCTGCTCAGGTCGTGATCTCAGGGTCCTGGGATCGAGCCCCGCATTGGGCTCTCTGCTCAGCAGGGAGCCTGCTTCCTCCTCTCTCTCTGCCTGCCTCTCTGCCTGTTTGTGATCTCTCTCTGTCAAATAAATGAATAAAATCTTTAAAAAAAAAAAACACACACCTTTAAAACATTATATTTTAAAGTCATATATATCCTACTCATCTTGATGGATTTATTTTTGGTTCCTTTTGTTCTTTGCTAGTATTTCTTCCCCATGTAGACACAGCGTTCATGTATGCGAGCGCACGTTGTCTGCTCTGAGTCTGCCTGTCAGGAGCACCCCCACGGACGTTCCTGGCAGCTTCCTGGGGGCTCCTGTCCCTCTCCTTCCCATCCCTGTGGCTGGTGTGGAGGCCCCTGGGTGTCGGGGTCCCCAGGCAGAGTGGTGCCTGGTGTTTTTTCAGATTGTAGATGGTATCCTTCATGAGACTGTTGGGAAGTCAGATCACCAAGTTCAAGGGTGCAGTGATTTATGTCCTATCTTGCCCCTCATTGTCAGCAGTTCTGTGTCCCATCTCAGATCCCTGAGCAGTGCACACCTCAGGCTGTAATTATTCCTCTGCATTTTCAACTCGGTTGCTAGGCTGCAAACTTGAAAACCCAAAAGCAGGTGGAACTGGAATGTTTCTTGGGTACCTGGCCTTGCACACACCTTCTGTCTACTGCGGCATCATCTGGAGTCTTTAGGAGCCCTGACCACTGGAGAATTTTGCGGGGGTGGGGGCAGGCTAGGGGGGAACCCCTGGGCGGGCACATCCAGGAAACAAGGCCTATGGCCTGAGGCCAGGCATTGTCTGTGTCCCCAGGCCGGAAGCTGCTTCCCTGCCCCCGTGGCCTTTTGGGCCTGCAGGAAGCCGTGGCACCACCCCCCAGAAGCAAAGAAAACAGCACCGCTTCTCCCTGCTGCTAGAAAGGAAAACCCAGTGGTTAGCAGGAAATCCCCAAATATGTCAGTGGAACTCATTTCTCATGTCTTGGCTGGTTGTTTCTCAAAGGTAGTTCCAGAGGCCTCTCTCCTGAGTCACCCTCTCATTTTAAAAAAACCACAGATTCATCGCTGTAGGTTCCTAAGACTATCTATAGACACACTGTGGATGCCCAGCCCCCAAAGAGAAGTGACCCATTTGCGTGGCTGTTGGAAAGTACTTGCACTCAGGGAAAAACCAGGTGTGTCTGCCCCGCAGAGAAGCACTGGCTGCCCTGGGCGTGGACCCCAGCCCTCGAGGACAGACACACAAAGGCGAACACACATCGTCTGGCCTGTGACAGGTTCCCACTGGTGGGGAGGCAGATTCTGGAATCAGGATGCATCTAGCGGTACGGGGGCAGCAGAGGAATGGACTCCTGCGCAGGGGAGCCAGGGAAGGCTTTCCGTGGCTGCGGTGTGGGAAGCACTGTAGTTCCGAGCAGCTCAAACACAAAAATGTATCATCTCAGTGCTTGGGAGTCTGGAAGGCCAAGATCAGCGTGTCGGTAGGGCTGGTTCCTTCTGGTACTTTCTGGGTCATCACCCCAGCGCTGCCTTCATCTTCACACACAGTTCTCCCTATATGCATCTGTGTCTGGGGGGTGTCAGCTCTGTGGTCAGCTCAACCCTGGCACACCATCCCCCCCTCCCCAAGGGCCTGCTTGAGAGAGTCAAGCAGAATTAGTGACTCTTACTCACCCCTGCAGTGTGGGGACCCGGGTCCCTGAGCATGAAGGTCAGGGTGAGCTGGCTTGGTCCATCCTGACAGCCCCACGGCCCCACTGAGCTCAGGCTTTTCATAAAGACACCAGGGTTCCTGGATTAGGGACCCACCCTTCTATATGACCTCACCGTAACTAATCGCATCTATTTCCAAATCAGGTCACATTCTGAGGCCCTGGCAGCTAGAACTTTAACATAAGAACTTTGAGGGACATAATTCAACCCCTAAAGACTCCTGCAGTGCTAGAGGGCCACCAACTGGGGTTGGTGGCCGGGACCCGTCATCAGCCTGGACACCGGGCAGTTTGTGCAGCCCCCCACAGCCCCAACCCATGCTTGCTGTAGCCCAGGACCTGGTAAACGGCATCGAGCTGGTGTCCCATCCAACTCCCCGAGGCCCAGAGGCCGACCTGCTGCTTGCCGCCGCACGTTGTGGCACAGGCGGTCATCACTCCCTCCAGATGGGCGTCCCTGAGGGGGAAGGTCTCCATCCAGAGCATTCGGGGAGGCACTGGGGTCTTAGCTTCTGCCAAGGTGCCAGCCCCGCCTCACTCCTTGTTCCGGTCTCCAGGGGCGCCTCACCACCACTTGCTTCATCTCTGGCCCACGAGGCAGTTTCCCAGCTGCTACAGACAGACCTATCTGAATTCAGAAAGCTGCCGGGGCAGGAGGAGGAGGAAGATGACGACGAGGAAGAGAAGGCCCCTGTGACCCGTGAGTTCTCTTCCCTCTCTGGCTGGGACGCTTAGCAGGCGACAGACTCACCCACCAGACAAAGGACGGGATGGGGTGGGAGGTGGGGGAATGCCAGTTCTGGAGCTGTCAGGGCTCACCTGGCCGCCACCGCCCTTCCTGTTGCTGGAGGAAGGGCGGTCATAGGCAGCACATGGCTGAGGGCCATGGAAGGGCAGCGTCTACGCGTGCTCCTGATGGCCACCTAGATGCGGAGAGAGCGCTCGCTCCAGCCTCAGGTCAGCAGGGGGAGCGCGGCTGCTGTCTCCCTGAGCTTCGGAACCGCCCAGGAGATGAATAATGCTTTTCCCATTCTACATGGGAGGAAGCTGAGGTGGCAGCTTGGTCACCCACTTGATCTTCTGCCTCAGCTGACACTGCCCCAGGGTAGCGTAGGAGCCAGGAGGGTGACATGTGTGGGGCTCCTGGTGGCGGCCTCAGGGTCCAGCTGGCAGAAAATGCCTGCATTTGGGCCGGTTGCCCGACCTGATCCAACTCAGGACCCTGACAGGTGGACTCCACGGCATCTGGAGAGCTAGCTTGGGGAGGGGCCCATCGGTCTACCTCCTCCTGGGGAACTGGTTAGTGTGGCATGCCCCCAGCCACCCTGCACCACCTGGGGAACCCAGAAATGGGCAGTGAACCTCATCATAAAAAAATCAGGGCTCGCTCTTTGCATGTCTTCGTTTCACTTTCTTGATACAGTGAAGGAATTAATGAAATTGGGAATTAATACGGTGAAAACTCCCCTGTCACCTCATCCGGGGGGGGGTACATTTTAAGACCCCCAAGGGATGCCTGAAACTGTGGATCGCACCAGACCCTCTGTATATGCTGCATTTTTTCCTATACACACACACCTCTGATAAATTTTAATTTATAGACTAAGCACAGTAAGAGAGTAGCAAGTGATACTAAAATAGAAGAGTGATAATAATACACTGTAGTAAAAGTTACATGAAGGTGGTCCTCTCTCTCTCTAAATATCTTGGTCTGTACTCACCCTTCTTCTGGTGATGACGTGAGATGCCTGCGCGATAGGATGGAGTAAGGTGAGTGACATAGGCATCACAGTGTAGCACTGGGCTACTGTTGACCTTCTCCCTTTTTTTTTTTTTTTAAGTTTTTTTATTTATTTGAGAGAGAGAGAGAGATTGAGAGATAGAGAACATGAGAAGGGAGGGTTAGAGGGAGAAGCAGACACCCCACTGAGTGGGGAGCCTGCTTCGGGACTCCATCCCTGGACTCAGGATCATGACCTGAGCCAAAGGCGGTCGCTTAACTGCCTGAGCCACCCAGATGCCCTTGCTGTTAACCTTCTGACAGTACCCTCTGATGACCCCGTTTCCAGACCACAGTTGACTGCCAGTACCTGAAACCTCGGAAGGCGAAATCGTGGCTAGGGGGAACTCCTGTATAATTTGTTGATTTGCTCCTTTATATATTGCTTATGATTACTTCTGTCTTTATGGATATTGCATATGGTTACTTCTATCTTGTCTCGTATTTGTTATCTGTGTTACTTGGAGTTGAGCCTGAGTGTGAGTGTTGAGGGCAAAACAAGGAACAGGCTGGGGGAGAAAGAAGACAAATGCACGCGGCCCCTTGCTTCAGCACATGCCGAATTCTCATCCCCCCCCCCCCTTCCGTGGCTCCCTGCCCACATTCCATCCTAGCATGGCCTCACATTCCTGCCTGGGAAGTGTGGGAGACAGCAGCCCACAGTGACAGGCAGCCTTTGTCCTCCGCAGAGCCCCACAAAGGGAGTGCCCCACCCCAGAGTCCCGGTGGGAAACCAGCACCACCTGCTGGCGGGAAGGCCCTACACGGGGCTTCTGCAGGCCAGGCCAGGGAAGGGGGGATGGCCCCTCGGGGTGGGAACTCACAGCCTGCCCTGGCCCTCCATTCAGGCCTGGGCTCTGGGGCCCTGATCAGCTCTCCCTATCACTGGGGCAGAACATAGGAAAATCTATCATCTTGAAGCCCTTCTTGGAAAATGGGCTTCCGGGCAGGTGTTATGAGCACCACTGCTCAACGCCAGAGGTATGACTAAACCCCCCAGGGCTGGGTCATGTGGAAACACCAGCCGGCCCGCTCCAGTGAGCTGGTCCTGTGGGCGCCAGGATGAGGCCCTCAACGGGGAAAGCAGGTGTGTCCTGCCAGCAGCATCAGGAGTCCGTGAGCCAACCAATTGGCCCATGGCTTATCTATTGCTTATCATTGTCAGTGGTAATTGCCTTTGCTGAAGCTGAAATTCAAGTTCAAATGTGTTGTTGGAAATGGTTGCACGACCTAAGGCAGGAGAGTACTTGGTGCCCTGTGCCTCGCCGGGTGTCTCAGGCCTAATAAAAGCAGAGCCCGGGGGCACCTGGGTGGCTCAGTTGATTAAGCATCTGCCTTTGGCTCAGGTCATGATCCTGGGGTCCTGGGATCAAGCCCCACATCGGGCTCCCTGCTCAGTGGGGAGTCTGCTTTTCCCTCTGCCTGCCCCTCCCCTTCTGCGTTCTCTCTCTCTGACAAATAAATAAATAAAATCTTTAAAAAAAGAAGCAGATCCCAGAGGGAGAGGGAAGGAGCCCAGGAGCCCAGATGGTCGTCTGGACGTAACTGTCTACAGAGAGGAAGAGGAGGAGGCTAGGGAGACAGCGCTGTGCAGTCCAGCTGAACGAGGGGTCTCTGACTTTTTGGCAGGGGATTCACTGGGCCGAGCACGTGTGGACATGTCTTCCCAGAGCTGAGCCTTCCTGTTCCCACAGCCCCTCAGGCCAGCCCGGCTGGTCTCCCACTTCTTGCCAAACACCTGAATGGTGCCTGTATCCTGGGTGTGCCCACAATGGCTAGTAATAGACACACCCACCCCCCACCCCCCACTTTCACGTGTGGATTCCCTCAGACATGTCTTCTGTGGCCTCTTGGGCCTTCCCTGGCCTCCCCCCCCCTTTTTTTTTTTAAAGATTTTATTTATTTATTTGACAGAGAGTGAGACAGTGAGAGGGTACACAAGCAGGAGGAATAGGAGAGGGAGATACAGGCTCCCTGCTGAGCACGGAGCCCGATGCAGGGCTCGATCCCAGGACCCCTGGGATCATGACCTGAGCCCAAGGCAGATGCTTAACCCACTGAGCCACCCAGGCGCCCCGCTACCTTTTTCTTCTGCAGCCTCTGCCTTTGGGCAGGAGCTCTTCCTTCTCCGACACCTCCCCCCTCCAAGTCCTTCAAGTGTGTCTGGTGACTCTCCTCAAAGTCTGCCCTTGATCCCCCCTCTGAGGTGACCGGCTCCAAATCACCTGTGCCTGCTGCATGCACCTGGGCCAGCAAGAGTCCCAGGAGCATTTTGTGTGTGGAAATGACCTGAACCTCTGAGGCTTACCACCCAAGGATTCCTTGGGACCTGTTCCTTGTTAGTTCCTTGTTAAGCTTTTCTTTAAAAGGCAGGTTCAGGTAGGATTTGGGGTGTGTGTGTGTGTGTGTGTGTGTGTGTGTGTGTGTGTGTGTTGTAGGGGCTGTTACCTGTTGTGTAATGAATTCCCCCCAAAATTTAGTGGCTTAAAACCAACATTTATTATCCCATAGTTTCTGTGGGTCTGGAATTTGGGAGCCGCTGAGCTGGTGGTTCTGGCCCAGTGTCTCTCATGAGATCGTGGCCCTGGGCTTGTGGCCAGTGGAGCAGAGGTTCCATTTCCAAGGGGTTTGGCCACTTAGCTATTGGCAGGAGGCCTCAGCCCCTCCCCACATGGACCCTCCATAGGGCTGCTTAAGTGTCCTCCCGCCATTACGGCTGCTCTCCTCAGGGCCAGTGATTCACCAGGGAGATGGAGAAAGAGAGACAGAGACAGAGACAGGGAGGGAGAGAGAATGTGCCAGGTGGGAGCCACAGTGCCTCTCAGGAAGCAGTTCATGGTCATTTCTGGTTGATTCTGTTTCTTAGGAGCAGGTCCCTAAGGCCCACACCCACCGGGAGGAACCAGGCTCCCAATCAAGCGTTACAGAATTTATGGACATATTCTGAAACCATCACCTGGGGCTAACACTTGTCCTGGAAAATTGAGAAAACACCAAAAAAGCTTAAGAAAAAAACATCCGCTGTCAAACCACCACCTGCAGACACCCACTGCTGCCATTTTGATTGTATGCTTTTCCTGCCTTTAGTTTTCTGTTCCAAGCCGTTGAAGGCTTTTTTGGGTCCTCGTGATCAAACCATGTGTGGGATTTTCTGTTCTCCTTCTTTGCTGTGACATTTTTTTCCTTGATGTTTTTTCTTTGATAATTATGACATAAGCATTCTACACAATCACGCACTCTTTAGAAGTCCATTTTAGTTTTACCCTTTAATTTTTTCCCATTAAACCTGGCAACAACCATAGGCTCGCATGCTGTCGTAAGAAATAACAGGGGTTCCATGTGTCTTTTACCCAGTTTCCCCCTATGGTAAGGTCTTAAAAAACTAGTAAACCATCACGACACGACCAGGATCTTGACATCGTCAAGATACGGAACAGTTTAATTCTACAAGAATCCCTCATGTTGTCCTTTGTGGCTACCCTAATGCCCCATGCTCCTGTCCCTAACCCTGACAACCATTAATCTTCTCTGCTTCCATAATTTCATAATTTCAAGAATGCCTAGAAATGGAATCCTAGAGTATGTAACTTTTGGGGATAGGCTTTTTTCTCTCTGCATCATTCTCTGGAAATTGATCTGAGTTTTTATAACATGCCAGGAGTTCGCTCCTCCTTTCTTTCCTTCCTTCTTTCCTTCCTTCCTTCCTTCCGTGAGTAGTATTCTGTAGCATGATATACCGAAGTTTACCTGCTCTCGGGTTGAAAATCATCTGGGCCATTTCCAGTTTTTGCCCATTGCAGGTGAGGCTGCTGTGAACACGGGGGCACCCAGGGTTTTGTGCACGTGGTGTCTTAATTTCTCTGGGCTAAATCCCCAGGGGTGCAGTTGCTGGTCCATGTGTCCATTGTGTGTTTAGTTGTGGAAATCATGTTTAATAGCAGCTTAATTCTTCATCAAGAGACTGGGCCGTCATTTACTCTGTCGCTGGATATGTATTGCTTCTAATTAACGTGCCATTGTAAATGATTTTAAGCTTTGTCCTGAAATTACCTTTGCGTTTCTGGCTGTTTCCTTGGGGAGGGGTCTCATGAGTGGAGCTGCTCACTCTGGGTCAGGAGGCTCCTTCCTGAGCATGTTGTCCATGCAGACATTGCCCAGTACTGATGACACAGGCTGTCATACACAGGCTAGGGTGCTCGGAATACCCCTGGGGCTGATGGACTGAGGGTGGGGGGCATGCAGTTCTTTGGTGGGCACCGTCTGAAGAGCTCCAGGGGCCACGGGGAAAGGGGGGGCAGGCAGAGCGATTGGAGCCCAGCTGGCCTGCATCGGTGCCTCCCTAACGGTCCTCCTTTGTGCCTAGCAGTGCTGGATGCCAAGGGCCTGGCACACACCTTCTTTAACCGGCTCTGGGAAGTGTGCAGCCAGTGGCAGAAGCAGGTGCCCTCGACTGCGCGGGGCCCTCCGGGGCCGTGGCTGGTCTCCATGCATGCCATCCGGAATACCCGTCGCAAAATGGAGGACCGGCACGTGTGCCTTCCCGCCTTCAACCAGCTCTTCGGCCTGTCGGTGAGTGCTTCTCCTCCAGTGCTCCTCCTCCCAGGTGCCAGTCAGAACAGTCAGAACGCCGTCAGGGGTGGGGGCCAGCCAGGGTTCTGAGCGGAGCTGCCAGCCAGAGCCAAGGCAGGAGTGATGCCTGTAGCTGTGTCCCCCAAGCACACCACTGGGGGGAGCAGAGGCCTGATTCGTTGGCCCGGCACTTCTTGGCTGGAGCAACCACCAGCCACCTTGCTTTCCCAGCTGACAGACTGAGGAAAGGGAATGATCTGCCCAAGCCTGTTAGAATGGGGGAGCGGGGAGCCCAGGAGTCACACCCGCCCCAGACTCAACAGTTGCTGAGCCCTGCCTTGTCTCAGGCGCTGGGAGCCACCTGGCACCCCTTCCCTCATTTTATGCTCCAGCAGCTCATTACAGAAAGTGAACCAAGGCTCCAGAGGCTTGTCCTTTTCCAGTGCTGATGGCCAAGGCCATGCTGATTCTTCCAGTCCCACCCCAGTCAGCGCCTAGGCTCCACCCCCCAGACCAGAGCATCCAGCTAGGTGACAGCCTGGGTCGGGGCAAGGGCGGTGTGACTCCCGCGGCACTCCCCACCAGGACCCCATGGACCGAGCCTACTTTGCCGTGTTTGATGGTCACGGAGGGGTGGATGCCGCCCGCTATGCCGCTGTGCACGTGCACACCAATGTTGCCCGCCAGCCCGAACTGCCCACGGACCCCGCCAGAGCCCTCAGAGAAGCCTTCCGGTGCACCGACGAGATGTTTCTCGGGAAAGCCAAGCGAGAGGTGAGAACCAGTTAACGGGCCTCACACATAGCATGCAGTCCGCAGTCATTCACATCAGAGAGACCCCGCCCTAGGGTTAATCTGCAGGCAGGGGGACGGAGCGCCCTGTGGCAGATCCTTCCCAGTGGCCTCACACCGAGGCCTAGGCGAAACAGGGCAAGGCAGGTCACGGCAAGTGGAGGGTTGAATAACCCTTTTGGGCTCTGGGCTCTAATCAGGGCCACCTGCCTCCATCCAGGCCAGGAAAAAGGGCCTGGCTTGAGAGACAGAGGATGTGACTGAGGACACGGGTTCAGGCCAACTGGCTCGTGCATGAAGTTTGTGCGCTCAGGGTGGGGGGACCTTTGCTATCTCTAGGACCAGCCCGTCCTGGGATAGGAACTCTGTCCACAATTAGCAAGTACCCCAGTTTGTCAGAACATCAGAATAGAGGGGTGCCTGGCTGGCTGTCGGAAGTGCTGGGGACACTTGATCTCAGAGTTGTGAATTTGAGCCCCAGGTTGTATGTAGAAATTACTTAAAAGTTTTGAAAATTTAAAAAAAAATTTTTTTTTTAGAAAAGAAGATAGAGAAAATAAAGCCCATGATTAATACACACAACCCCCTGGGGCACCTGGGGGGGTTATTTATTTATAAATAAATAAAATATTTTTAAAAAAATACATACAAACCCCCCCACCCTGCCCCCACTCACCTGGGCAGGGTCTTGGCAGGCTGCTGGTGGCCACTGTGTGTACTCTTTTTTTTTTTTTTTTTTTTAAGATTTTATTTATTTGACAGACAGAGATCACAATTCACAATTAGGCAAAGAGGCAGGCAGAGAGAGAGGAAGGGAAGCAGGCTCCCTGCTGAGCAGAGAGCCCGATGCGGGGCTTGATCCCAGGACCGTGGGAACATGACCTGAGCCGAAGGCAGAGGCTTAACCCACTGAGCCACCCAGGCGCCCCTCACTGTGTGTATTCTTTCCTCAGGAACTGTAGCCATGTAGGGATCTGGCCCTTGTTTCTGAAAGAACACATCCAACACCTCCTCTGTGAACTTGCCACCCACTGGACCTTACCCACAGAACCTCATGGGGCCTTCCCAGCAGCCCTGCCAGGGAGCTACTAAAATGGTGTCCATTTTAGACATCGGGAAACTGAGGCGCAGAGAGCTTAAAGGACCCACCCCAGTTGACATGGCTTATCAGGAGACTTGGGAGGGGATTCGCTGTCATCAGGCGCTCCGAGCAACAGACCCCAGTGGAAATCAGCAAAGGCAGACTTTGCATCTTACCAGAAAATCATATAGCATCTAGACTTAAGTGGCAGCCCCATGAAAAAGGGACAGGCCTCAGCCCCCATGGCCTCTGTCACCCTGGGCCACCTCCCAGCGTAATGATTCTCTGAAGTAGGCTCTCAGCTCAGGCTGCTGTTATTTTAAGGTAGCTTTGTGGAGATGTAATCCACATGACAGATTACATATATTGCCAGCATACAACATACCGTCAGTTCAGTAACAAGTAAAGTGTGCAGTTGGATAGGTTTTGGCATTTGTCTACAGCTGTGTAATCCTCCCCCCGGTTACAGACCCAGCCACCACCCCTGAAGAGTTTTCTTCTGTCCTTCGTTACCCCACCCTCCTGCCCACACGCTCCCCAGAAGAGCACTCATCTGCTTTCAGACATTACAGATGCTAGAGCTCCTGTTTTCTAGAGCTGTGTGCAGACGAGACCACATAGGCTCTGCTCTCCCGTCGTGCAGCGGAGACGCCTCATGTCCTTGTGTGCTTCAGCAGTCCGTTCCTTCTTTCTGGCTGAGCACTGTTCCAGGAGTCAGTCCGTCTGGCTGGGTGTGAGCCCTCCGAGCTGGCGCCCAGCCCACCACGCCCCTGTCTCCTGGCAGCGGCTCCAGAGCGGCACCACGGGGGTGTGTGCACTCATCGCAGGAAAGACCCTGCACATCGCCTGGCTCGGGGACTCCCAGGTCATCCTAGTGCAGCAGGGACAGGTGGTGAAGCTGATGGAGCCGCACAGACCCGAGCGACAGGTAAGGGCCCCCTCCCTCTGGGCCTGGGACGTCCCCAGCCCCCATCACACTGCACTGAGCAGGACGGCAGATGGTCATCGAAGTAAGAGGGGCCCTGGACCACCTTCCAAGGGAACTCCTGGTGTTCCCCCAGAGGGAGGGCTCTTGTGACTTGAGTGACCAGAGTTTGGGGGTGGTCCCTGAAAGCTCACAGCCAAGAGTCCCAAGTAAGCCCTTCTCACCACGGTGACACGGAGCCTAGAGCTGTGGGGGAGAGCTGGGCCCTCTGCCCAGCAGGCAGCCCAGGAAGGGGGGTCAGAGGGCGGGATCCTACACTTCATGCATATGGCAAGGGGTCAGCCAGCCACTTGGGCTATGGGAGGAGAGGGCTCAAGGGAGGAGGTAATGCTGAGCCGGGGTCAGAAGGAACTAGGCTTGGATCTTGGTTGGGTAGAGGCTGCGTTAAGATCCTGAGGTCACCAACTGTCTGAACCTTGGGGTCCTCACCCAGACATGAGGATGGTCTTCCTCCATGGACCCCCTTCTCACAGGTGTCTAGTCTGTCTCCTTATATAGGGAAGCAGGGAGTTGGCTACTGGGGAACGCCCATATGCCCTGTCCCCGCTTGGCTTTCCCCACGTGGATGGGTGTTCCAGGGCATTCCACGTCAGCATGGGAAGCGCCCCCACCCTCCTGTAGGGCTCCGCGGAGCTCCAGTCTTCCCCAGTCCTGTCCGTGGATGTGGAGGCTTCCTCGGTGTCTTCATGCTAATAGCAACACAGCGGCAGATGACTCAGTACTGTATTTCATGGCTGAGGGTCCAGCACGTTAATAGAGCAGCGTCCTAGAAGTGGGATGGAGGGGTTGGAATGTTTCAGTGGTGGTCCTGGCATGGTTGCCACATTGCTCCCCTCGGGCTGTGTGTCCACGGGAGTCCCTTTGCCCACAGTCGCACTGAACCGCAGGCTTCTGCCAGTCTGAGAGGAAGGAAAGCGGCTGTTGGGTTTATGTTTGTCTTAACGGACTGAGCCTGAGCATCTTCTCCAACACGGGAGGTCATTTACATTGCCTTTCTGGAGAGCCCTTCCTTCTTGTCCTTGGCTCACGGGTCTCCTGGGCTGTTGCTGTTGTTCTTATCAGTTTGTAGGTCAGCTCCTTGTCTGCAGGGTGATTTGCAAATAGCCCCCTGCTTTGTCTATGTTTAGGGGCTTTTTGCCTTGTAGACACTTTGGTTTTTATGTAACTGAATGGAGCTGTCCTTTTGTGGTTTCTAGATTTGGAAAGCACTGCAGGGAGTGTCAGGCAGCGATCACCAAAGCAGCCAGGAATGACAGCATTCCTGGGCCTCCCCTCCTACATATGCTCTTCTCATCATATGGAGGAGAGGACTGAGGCTCAGAGAGGTTAAGTAACTTGTCCAGAGCACACAACTGAGAAATGGCAGCTATGCTATGTCCCTCCACCGTCACCACAGCTCTGGGGCATTTGGTGTCTGCTCCCCGTTGGACCATCCTACCCTGAGACGGGCAGTCAGGTGAAATGCGGTCTAAGTCAGGACTAGATTCAAGCCTCTGGGTTCCTGCCTGCCTGCATCCCCGCAAGCTCACTGTCAAGCTACACCACCTCTGCGGTCCAGTGGGGACTTTTCCAGGCAGCATTTCCCGAGCCCCCCTGAGCCCCACTATGTGGCACCATGGCAAAGAGCACAGCCCCCCAGCCAGCCTGTGTATCCACCTGCCTCTCCCCAGACCCTTCTGAGTCTCTCTTCCCCCTCCACCTGCTTATTCCTTCATCCTCCTTCCCTGCCTGTGTTCATGCTCCTTTTTGCCTTTTTCTGGAACTGCTCACACCCCAGCGGGTTCTCAGGCCCAGAGGGAGCCGTGCAGGCAGGTCAAGGCTCCTACAAACCTTCCAGGTCCCACTGCTGCCCTCATCTTCAGGGAACTACATGGGAGGCCCAGCCTTTGCTATTGGTGTTCCCCCTCCCTCCGGCCCTGCAGTAGGTCTATATCTGCACAGAGACATAGAGGAAGGGCCCACTTCTGTGGTCCCAGAGAGAGGGGACTGGGATCTCCAGTAGACACTGTCCCATGGGGCATGGGAAGCTACCAGCTGAGGAAGCTGGTACCCCAGTGTCTATCATGGTGGTGCTGCTTTCATTTCCGGGGGGGGGGGGGGTGATAGAGGCAGAGGGACTTCGAGAAAGGACAAGGCCTAGTTCAGGTTTCATCCAGGCCTGCCAGGTGGCCACACATAGCACAGGCTTGCTGTCGCCCCAGTGGCTAGCAAGGAGGAGACAGTATCCCAGAGTGAAACGTGAGGCAGCGAGGATCTGTGACCGTGGCTGCCCTGTGGCTGAGGTGGCCCTTCCTGCAGCTGGAGGAGGACGTGCAGGTTCTTCGTGGTCCATCACCATTCTCCTGATGCCTCCTCTGGGCGTCGTTCCCGGGCCACGGCTCCCAGCACTGTCTCGGGAACCAGTGCATCTTGGCTGATGCAGCCTCCCCGGGGACCCTGCCCCAGCGCCTACTCTGGCTGTCCCGCACAGGACGAGAAGGAGCGCATCGAGGCACTGGGTGGCTTCGTGTCTCACATGGACTGCTGGAGAGTCAACGGGACCCTGGCCGTGTCCAGAGCCATCGGTAAGGAGGCAGGAGGGTGGGAGACCAAGGCCTTTCGTCTGCGGCCCGAGGGTCACCCAGCTGTCAGGAACAGCAGCATCCTCTGCTGAGAAATACAGCACCTGTGGTCTGTGGGGCCGTGGAATCGGACTGAGAGACCTCTGGTGAATTTAGTGCATGAGCAAACAGCAAACACCTCAAGGTCTTCCATCTCGCACAAGTAATCCCAGTTTAAGTGGTATGCGATTATCTTCTTGTTAAAACATTTTCCCAGAAAAACCTACTAGGAAACCCTTAGATAGCTACTGTATGTGCTGGAAGGTCGTTTTCAAATATTCCATCAATGAGGATTATCGATTGTCCTCTCCCTGTTCATGCTGATTCTTTTCTCCATCTTAAAAAAAATAAAGGGAGAATCCTCTTCCACAGTCCTGTTTTGTCAGCATCCTGCTGCTGCTGGGCCTCAGACTAGGGCTTGGCCGCCACACCCCACACCTCTCCCCTTGGGTACTTAGATGCCGCTCTGTTCCTGCTGAGCCCCACAATGTGACACCCGTCCCTCCCGGCCACCTCGCACGTGCCGGCTTAGAGCCCTTCTCCCTGCTGCTGCCGCCATTGGGCATCTGTACACACCGCAGTGGGGAGGTGGCCGGGTGGGCCTCTCCAAGCAGAGGCTCCTTCCACAGAGCAGGACACCCCAGGCAGTTCAATGGCAGAAAATGGTGGGGGCTGGTGTGCCCTTGGAGGGCAGGTGTGGAAGGAGGGGACCGTGGGCCTGGGCAAGGTGTAAGGAGGAGGCCGTGGCTTCCAGTAGCACTTTGAAAGTAAAGCCAACAGAACTTGCTAGAGGATTGGATGTGGGGTCCCAGGGAGAGGGTCCTGAGGGGAAGGGAAGCTACAGATCTGAGTATAAGGAAGGAAAGGTGAGGTCTTCTCCCTCAGCCACGCCCCCTCTCCAACTCTGGGCCCAGCTCCACTGGAAGGGAAGAGGCTGTTGGTCAAGTTGACTTCTGGCCCGGCTGGGCTATGACTCTGCCCACTGGGACACCAGGATAAGTCTGCCATGTCGCCCTCTTGTTTTCTTCATAGCCTTTAGCACCACGTGAGTTTCGAATTTCACCAGTGAGCATGGGTGTCAGAGGAGGGTGGCCGGGGCCTGGTGGGATGGCATTCGGCAGTGGGCAGCCTGGCCCTCTGACGTGAGGCCCTTCTCTCCCATGCCCAGGGGATGTCTTCCAGAAGCCCTATGTGTCAGGCGAGGCGGACTCAGCCTCTCGGGAGCTGACCGGCTCCGAGGACTACCTGCTACTGGCCTGTGATGGCTTCTTCGATGTCGTCCCCCACCAGGAGGTCGCCGGCCTCGTCCAGAGCCACCTGGTCAGGCAGCAGGGTGGCGGGCTACAGGTGGCTGAGGAGCTGGTGGCCGCAGCCCGGGAGCGGGGCTCCCATGACAACATCACAGTCATGGTGGTCTTCCTCAGGGACCCCCAAGACCTACTGAAGGGTGGGGCCCAGGGGGCAGGGGATGTGCCCTCTGGCCTCTCAGAGCCAGAGACCAGCACTCCACAGAGAAGCTAGGAGCTGCAGGCCATCGGGCCCCACCCCCTGCCCCATCCCATACCCTTCCCCCTCAGATGCCTTAGGACCTGACCAGTGGTGATGGGCAGGCAGGTGCCCCCCTCACAGTGCTTTCCCAGGGCCCCAAGTCCCCTGTGCTGCTTGCAATCAGTCCGTCCTGGAGGCTGTGGGACTGTGCTGGGGGGTGTGGATGGGTTATTTATGTCCTGCTCGCAAAGGCAGTGGGATGGCCCGGATCTCTGAAGGAGGCCTAGGGAAGAGACCTCACCAAAGAGAAGAGGACCTGGGAAGTGGGGCAGCTCTTATCCTGGCCCCATTGGGTGGGGGCAGGACCAGAGGCCACAGGCGTGAGCCACAGCCAGACCAAAGATGCCAGGCGGGCGCCTGGGACAGCAGGGCACTGCACATCAGACCCCGGGTGGACCCAGGGCACTGGCCACCTCCAAGTGTGTCCTGGGTGAATGGCGCAGGTTTCTCATTGGCTCCTCCCTGGTCACAACTGGGAGGACTCCTCTTTCCAGATGCGCCTGGCTGCTCCTGGCCTGCCAAGCCAGGTTCCCAGAGTGGGGAGCGCAGCCCTGCCGGGAAGGAGGGAGCACCAGGGATCTGGTCTGCGGTGGGCGCTTGTGGCCCCCCCAGCCTCCCTGGTCCCCTCCCAGCCCTGCACACACCAAGGGAGGGGAAGGTCAGAATGATGACATGTGGGTCTTTTGTTTGTGGTCTTCGCCCCCCCCCCCCAGGGAAGTCTTAACTCAGAAGCAGTATTTCAGGTTTTTGTCTGTTTTGTCAGTGCCAAGTGGACATGTTGTGTCATATAACTTAAACAGAGCTGAGCATTTATTTTATTCTTAGAAAACTTAAGTATTGATTTTTTTTTTTTTATTTGAAGAAACTTCTTTTGCAGTATTACTGATTTTTTTTTTCCTTAATCAGGATTGAAACAAAAACTTTTCCAGGTGGCGTTAATAAGCCATTCAAGTGCCTTAAACAGCTTTAGGTAAAGGCTAGGACCGCCAGGCCTGGAACGGATTCTAATAGGCATGTTTCCATTTTTACAAAAGCAGGATTTATTTTGTTACAGTGGCATGGTCTGGGCTAGAATTCTTCCCGGACATGTTCTTTCCACCTCTTGTGATTCCATTCGCTGCTGACAGCCCAGCAGCCCTGAAGAGCATAGGCTATGCTGTGCCATAGGCTATGCCAGACCACGGGGCTCTGGGAGATCAGGGTGACCGTGGCCCCGCCAGCCTCCCTCATTTGACTGGAATATCCTAGAATGTCTTATGTTGGTAATCAAATGGGTTTCATTGGGAAGCACCGCTTAGAGGCCCCAGCAAGTCCAGAGGCAGCCGGGGGGACTTGGGCTCTGCTCGGAGCCCATCCTACACAACTGCTTCATAGCCCCCAAAACCCCTCCTCCTGTCTCCCACCGGCCACAGCGGGCATCCTTTGCCACCTTGCTCTGCCCACAGCCTGACCACCTGGGGGAGAGCTCTACATTCCCTAGCATGCTCTGGGCAGGCGGGGCTCAGGAGCTGCGAAACTTGGGTGACTCCAGTGAGGCGGCTGTGGTGTGGGTGTCCAGTGGGAAGTGACAGGGCTGTGTGTAGAGTCCAGGCAGAGGTCAAGGGCCCAGGGAAAGGGCTCTCTGGTGGGAGGACCCAGGCCTCCAGGTCTGGGAATGGCAATGGCTGGCCAGGAGAGTGCAGGGAGGACCCCGATCCTAGTGTACCGAGGGGCGCCTTCCGAAGAGGCGGCGGAGCAGTGGGAGAGGCCCCCCGCAGGCTCAACATCTACCCCACACTCCCGCAGCAGGGATGAAGGAGCCCAGATGACGCGATCAATGCCGTGCCCCCCAAGGCTCCTGATGGAAGGCATCTTCAACACAATCGCTGCAATTCAGAGACGGTTTGGTGGGAGCCAACAATGACCTAGTATTGCCCTCACTGAATCTGAAGGCCCCACTGTTTTCTGGGGGTCCAAAGCCCCCTGTTTGGCCCTTCCCGGCACAGGGCTGACAACAGCATGTGGCCCTGCCCTTCACTGCTGGCCTGGCTGCCCCCTGCCGTGATCTTAGCAGAGGGAGGAAGCATGGACTTCCGTTGTTCTCCCTTCTTTGCCGGTCTCTGATTCCATGATTGCCACCAAGAGCAGGGCTTCACCCATGGAGCCCAGATCTCACTGTGTGCCAGTCTGATTCGTGCCCCGGCCTCAGGCTTGTTGCAGTGACACACCCCTCTGGCAGAGGCTTCTGCTGTCTGGGGCTGCTCATCCTTGCCTTGGGGCTGAGGGAGCCCTCTTTCCTCCTGCACAGATGCCGGCTCTGGCCCAGCACCTAGGCATAGAGGTCTCTTCCCTCTTGACCAGACCTGGACTGGGAGCCATGGGCATCTTCAGCCTCTGAAAGCCCTGGCCCCCCTCCTTTTCGGGCCACAGTCCCAAGAGGGCCCCTAGCCGGGACCCCAGGTCTGGAAGCCTCAATCTCCATCTCAAATCCTAGCTTTGCCACTAGCTCATTGTCTGAGCTAAGCAAGTCACGGAGCCCGCCTGGGCCTCAGTTTCTCCTCTCTAGGGCCCAGGGTTGCACGGAAGCTGTGATTCTGGAAGGTCCAGGGCTGTCCTGGGGAGCTGCTGCCAGTTCCAGGGGAGCCCTCCCCTGCTGCCAGCGGGAAGGAGTGATGAAGTATTATTAGGGTCTATTCTTACAGTTAAGTGGGCTGGAAGGGAATGGAGCTGCTGATGCTTGCACCCAATCTGGAACACAAAAGCTTGAGAGAGCCCTACTAGAGAGCTCTGCTTTTACAGGTACAGCAGATTCTGAGCCAGCAGAGGTGGGAGAAGCAGACTGGGCCCAGCTCCCTCCCCCCGTAGCTGTGAGGTAGAAGGACATGGAGCTGGGCTGGGCACAGCCAGGCCCTCCCTGACCTCGCTTGTGCTCGGCACCCAAGCCAAGGAAGGAGATGTGCTTTAAGGGGGCAGTGGTGGGGACAGGTCCCACTGGAGACATGCAGGCTCTCTGAGTTCCCGAGCCAGCCTCTGGCCACAGCCCACTCTCTTCCTACCCTCCCCAGTCAGCACGCGGCCCTCGCCTGTTCCTGTGCCCTACTGGCTCAGAGTTCTGGCTTCGCCGCACAGGTGGGGTACAGTCCCATGGCCGGGGTACAGCCACACCGGTTCCCAGGCCTAGCCCTGACAAGGGCTCAATGGAAACCTGCTGGGCCTGTGCAGAGTAAGCTGGTTCGGTTTGGGATCCTGCCGGTCGCCCCCAGGAGGCAGCCCCAGGAGACCAGCACTTTCCGCCAAGGCTCCACAGCTTTGCCAAACACGCCGAGCTTTGCCATTCATGCGCCATGCAGCCTTGCCAAGGGTTTATCTGTGCACATCTCAGCAGGGCTCCTGGGAGAGGTGTTTTCTGCGAGGGGCATCTTGTCCCAAGACGGGATGGCTGTTCCCTCTGTCTATAGGGATGAGTCCCGGGCTGAAGGAGCCAGAAACTTGGTTTCCTCCCAGGGGTCACTGTGCTCAAGTGTCAATAAACCATGAGTTCTGAAACCCTGTCACCTGAGTCCTGCCTTCTCTTGCCTCTGAGCCCCTGGTGCCCCTGAGTATCCAGGGCGTGTTTAGAAAGTGCTGGGGCATGGAGTAGGGGGCCGGGGACCATCTGGCAAGCTCCCCACAAAGGCAGCACACTAATTCGGAACATTACTAGTCCAGCCTGGTTCTCTTCCCTGGGCTCCAAGCCCACCCTGTACCAGCAGCACGAGGGCATGGCCACTGTGGGCCTGCGTAGAGGCTGACAGGAGAGGGGTGAGGCCCCTGGGCAAGGGGGCATCTTACAACACAGGGGCGCCCACGGGAGCCTGGAGTGGCCCAGAACCACTGAGGATGGGGACCCTCCCAGCAAAAGACTCAGGAGGGACAGAGCAGGCCAGCAGCGGCCAGGACCGCTCTTGAGCTCCTGGATGAACTCAGACTCCAGGAAACAGGAAAACATCCAGAATGCCTCCATAAAGATGCTGCTGAGCCAAGGGCCCAAAATGCCACCTAGACTTCCCAGAATGGAAGGGAGGCCCTTCCATTTGTGTTTTGGGCTTAGTGGGGTCAGCTAGCCAGACGGCTACGTCCCTTCCTCCTCCCACCCCCCAAGCCCTGCCCTGGATACCAAGACTTTGCCCACGTTTGGGCCTTGCCAGAGCAGCTTCTAGTCCCTTCCCAATTCACCCTGAGAGCTTTCCGTGCCCCTCCCGCTCCAGGCCTCATTGCAAGGGAGGCAGCTTTATCTGTCTCCATCTTGTCACGGAGAGGGGGCTGGGGCTCCCAACCAGGCCCTGAGCACCACCCCCCAGCCCCTCCTACTCACCCATCTGTCTTCCCCCTGCCTGATCCCCTCCGCCTCCTTGGAAGCTCCCTGCAGAATCTGCCCAGCAGAACCTTGTTCTTAAGTATATGCTGTCTTGATTGTTCACAAACGAATTGCCTCATGTGTCTGACTCCCATTGCTAGAGCCAGATGGTGGCTCCACATTCCCTCCAACCCACTGTCACTGAGCTCTGAGCCAGGAGAGCATCCTCTCTGGGGCCATTGGGGTGAGAGAGCGGGGAGGGGGGTATGAGGGACCAGGCACCAGGCAGGGACCGAGTGGCTTCTGGGGCAGCAGGGTGTCCCTCACCTGCCAGAGCAGCCCATCCTGATGGCACCTGCGGGCTGGGGATATCAGCCAGGCTGTCTGCCAGCAGGGAGACAAACCTGTACCCAGAGGCCAAGTCTGGCACAGAGAACTGTCTGCCCCCAAGAAGGGTGAGAGCAGGATGGTCAGAACTGGGTCTTATGCCCTGGGGGGAGAGGGGGTAGGGCGGTGCACTCAGCCTGGGGAAGCAAGCCCAACAGTGAGCAGAGCCAGGAAGATGAAGCCAGCTGGGAGGGCTGATGACCACGTTGGCCCCAGAGTTCCCCTCAGAGGGTCCCAGAACACCTAGCTACCTCCTTCTGGTCATGTGTGGCGCTCCCATTCTGGTCAGACTGGCCTGGGGCAGAACAAGGTTCTGAACCAGTCAAGGACAGGGTCTCCGTGAGGTCCGCACACAAAGCCGCATTTCATCTGGGGTCTGCTTCTGGGGACCCGGGCCAATGGAGCCCCAGACATCTGCGTGCCCAAGGCCAAGCCATGGCACAACCTCCTCAGAGCAGCCCTGGGATTTCTCTGATCCGGTAGAGGGGCCTGGGCAGGTGCCAGCTCTGGCCACAGCACAGGGGGCCTCAGCAGCCCCGCTGCCCATTGCAGGCAGGCCCTCGGTCATTATGGCCGCGCCGTGGGAGACCACCACCCCTTCCTCCTGGCCCTCCTCCTCCCTCTTTTTCTCCCCCTTCCTGAAATTATAGAAGTAATAGGATGACATAACAAAACTTGGAAAAAAAAGAGAAGAGGAAGAACAAGATTTGATTTTGGGTGGAGAACAGAATAACCAAGGTAAGCAAACAGCTCGAGAATCAATGTCCTCAATACAACACAGAATAATTACAGCCCCCCCCACCCCCGCCACCAAACTCAACAGGATCTGGCCAACAGTATCAAAGCTCCATGTGTGCCTTTGAGGGCCTACCTCTCTGCATCATCTTTATAAGGATTTTTTTTTTTAAGATTTTATCTTTTTTATTATTTGTTTTTTTTAAGATTTTATTTACTTATTTGACAGAGATCACAAGTAAGCAGAGAGACAGGTAGAGCGGGGGAAGCAGGCTCCCTGCTGAGCAGAGAGCCCAATGTGGGGCTCAATCCCAGGACCCTGAGATCATGACCTGAGCCAAAGGCAGAGGCTTTAACCCACTGAGCCACCCAGGCGCCCCAAGGTTTTATCTTTTTTTTTTAAGATTCATTTACTTACTAGAGAGAGAGAAAGAGAGAACGAGCACATAAGCAGAGGGAGGAGCAAAGGGAGAGAATCTCAGGCAGACTTCCTGCTGAGCGTGGAGCCTCATGCGGGACCTGATCTTACAATCCTGAGACCCCTACCTGAGCTGGCCACCTAACCGACCAAGCCACCCAGGCACCCCAAGATTTTATTTTGAAGTAATCTCTACACCCAAGGTGGGGCTCAAACTCACAATCTTGAGCTCAAGAGTCCCACGTGCTGCTGACAGAGGCAGCCAGGCACCCATCTTGACACATTCTTTTTTCTTGTCTTT